AGTGAAAAGCATTTTATTTCATGTGTACTTATGTAGAGATCGGTACTGTAATCAAAGCGGCGGACATCAGCATAAGCATTGATCAAGTAAATGAAGAATGTTCAAAATATTGAATCGGATAACCCCGTATCGTCATAACTTTCCATATTTTTCTTTTCGAGAATATTTCTTTTCGGTTTTTTTTTCTACATTTTGACCTTTCGACATTTTCTTTTCTGTCTTTCTTTTCGATATTTCAACGTTTTGATTTTTTTCTTTTCTGTCTTTTTCTTTTCTATATTATTCCCTTCAATTATTTTTTCGACATTTTTCCTTTCGATATTTTTCTTTTCAGCATTTCTCCATCCATTCTTATGTTTATACGGGTTATTTGTTATTACAACGCCTTCAAATGCAACCGTTTTTAAATGCAACGCTTTTATACGTATCAGTTTCTATATGAAATGCACTCTTTTAAATTTAAGATGCTACCTAAAACAGCCTTTTAGACGCGCTTATAAGAAAGGTATTTTGGATGTGGGTGTGGGGTGTGGCTATAGAGAACCGGTACATTCACTCACGTTCTCATTCATCTGCACTCACCCAAATCTTACATCCATAATCGCACTTTACGTACATACGTGCTTTTTCATCTGCTTGTTATCTTTCTGTGTTTGTCTGTATGCGTGATTTGTTAGTTAGATATTCTCTCATGTGTTTGATATCTCTTCTTTTTTACTCGCAATACACAGAACGGTGACCGAAGAAGAACGCGAGAGTGATCCCGCTTAAGGACTATAAGAGTGAAGCATGTGGGCTAATAACGATAATCTACACTGCAAAGGTCAATATTCATTCAGTGGCTTCTGAGAATAAAACCATCTGAGTCGAAATAATTACGATACTATATAATACAACAGAATTGAAAAAAAGACACCAAAAAACGGTATCAGCATGATTGTGATTTCTTTGCTCTCTATTTTCTTACTGACAACAACGATCACAATAGAAACTGCTAGCGAACGTGATGTACTCGTCGATTTTTATCATTCTACATCAGGCCCAGATTGGATAAGTCAAGATAACTGGCTATCATCAACCATTCCCTACTGTCAATGGCACGGCGTGTTGTGCGATGAACAAAACCACGTTATAGAAATTCAGCTATACGACAATGAATTAAATGGATCACTGCCTGCAACTTTATGCAATCTCACACAATTAAAAACATTATATCTTAGTTTTAACAGCATTAGTGGTAGTTTAATACCAAATATAGACGAGTGCTCGAAGTTGGAAAATATATGGCTAAAAGCGAATAAATTACAAGGTAAATATGACACCTACTCATAACGAACGTATTTGAGTAAATCTTTGAGAAAAATATCACTTTTTGAAAAAAAGTATTTTTTTCATCGATTTTTTTTGTATGCTATTCAAGCTGATAGATGTCAGAAAATAGAGGCTACTCTATGAAAATCCAGTCTTTTGACCCCATATTTCGTCCATGAGTAAAAGATGAGTAGGCTATCACATCCGACGAAAAATTCCTTCCCCCCTCCCTTCAATGAGATTTAATGAAAATATCTATTTTTCAAAAATATGTAACTCAAAAAGATTGTATGAAGCCGATAGCAGTGGCAGAATTCCATGCGTTCTGAATCTCTGGAACTCTCAATAGTGACAATTTTCTCACAACACTCCAGAAACTCAAGAAATTCAAGGGACCGAGGTAGCCGTAAGCTCAGCATTCGTTAGAATATGAAAAGTTTTTAGAATGTTGAGATCATTCAATAAGTGATTCATCTATGCGTAATGATTGAATATTCATGAAAAGCATTGTACCGTATATTCGCCTTCTTCTGTGATATTTTCGACATCTAATATTTACGAATCTAGGATACTAGTGCAGTTGTTTATACTTTGTCGCCAAAGAAAACTTGATGATGTAAGTTTCGTTTGAAACTCTAGGCTTGATCTGTCACTTAAATTTCCAAAAGTTCGTAAAGTTCCGAGAGTGCTGAGAGTTCTGTTGAGGCGCAGTCGATATTCTCATTTTTTTATCAATGTTTAAGTACCAAAATCCTCCAGAGTTCAGAACTCACCGTATCAGGATGTCTCGAAACTGACTTTTTTTCAAAGCCTAAAATGACATTCGAACAAAAAAATGCATATTCTTGTCAAATCTCCATGAATAGAGGTATCCATTGCAGGTTATACTAGTCTACTCGTTTCATACTTATAAACAAAATATGAGCTAAAAATACTGAATGTCCATAGAAAACAATATGACATCCGAAAATCAAAGAAAAAAGACAACCAAAGCATCTTTCCTTAAATTCTGTCAGTAAATTAAAAAAAAAATTTAGTCTATTTTCGACGAAAGGGATAAACAATGAAAAGATTCATGAAAAAGCTAGAGATTTTTACAACTTTGGCTAATGTATTATCTTTATTGCTTTTTTCAATTTATGAATGTTTTACTTCAATTTTTCGTACGATGTACATAAAGGAATGGTAACATGTTTATGGTTATTATAGGATCTATTCCTGAGACAATTTGCAATTGTTCAAGTCTTCAATGGTTAGATCTACATGATAATCAACTAACTGGTCAGATACCAAATTGTATTGGTAAACTTCAGAATCTGACCGTTTTACGTATTGATAACAACAAACTATCGGGAACCATTCCAGAGAGCTTGTACTCTATGACAAAGCTACAAGAGTTGTATGCTCATAAAAACCAATTGATTGGCGTCATTAGTCCTACTATAAGTCAAATGATAAATCTGCAACATCTATTTTTGGGCTATAACAATCTTAGCGGAATATTTCCAAGATC